TCTTTTTTTGACAAATTGTTGATTCAGACAAAATATCTTTTTTAATTTTATTATTTACTTCTATAAGTTTACGGAGTTTTATTGAGTATTTGTTGATTCAGACAAATTTATTTCTGTCTTTTAATTTTTATTGAATAAACTAAATTTATCTCAGATTTAACATGTTTTTATAAAAATTGTAGATTCAGACAAATTTCTCTGTTTTTGAATGTTTTTATTGGAAAATATGATTTAATCTTTTTAATTGCAAGATTGCAGATTGAGACATAATTCTTTCAGACTTTTCATATTATTATTAAAAAATGAAAAAAGATCTCTCTGTATTTATATAAAATTTACCATTTTTGTTGAGAAATGGCACATTCAGCAAATTTCTGTCTGACTTTTAATGTTTCTATTGAAAAATGTTAAAATTTCTCAAATTACATAAGATTTATCATTTTATTGGGAAATTGTAGATTCAGGAAAATTTCTCACTGTCTTTTAATGTTTTTATTGCAAAATATTGAAATCTCCTCAATTATATATATATATATATATATATATATATATATATATAATATTTATATAAGGCACCATTTTATTAAGATATTTTAAATTCATACAAATTTCTCCATCTTTCAATCTTTTCATTGAAAAATGTTAAATCTAACATGTTTATATATATATATATTTTTAATATTTACAATTTTTTGTTGAGAATTCAGAAATTTTATTGAAAAATGACAAAATCTGTCATTTTTATATGAGATTTACACTTTTTTCATTGAGAAATTTCAATTTTTTCATTGAAAAATATTGAAATATGTACATTTATATATGATTTATTCTTTTATATTGAGAAATATAGGTTCAGATGAATTTCTCTTTCATTTTACGTTTTCAATGAAAATGTTAAATTCTGACATTTATATAAGATTAATGACTTTTTATTGAGAAATTCTAGATTCAAGTAAATTTCATTTGGTCTTTTAATTTTTTTATTGAAAATGATAAAATCTGACATATTTATATAATATTTAGCTTTTTTTATTGAGAAATTGTAGATTTAGAAAAATATGTCTATATCTTTAAATGTTTTTATTATAAAATTTTAAAATGTCATATTTCTATAAGATTTCCTTTATTTTATTGAGAAATTGTAGAATCAGAATATTTTCTATTATTTTTCATATTTCATTGAAAAATATTAAATATATGATTTAACATCCTTTAGTGACAAATTATAGATTCAGGCAAATTTCTCTCATTCTTTTAATGTTTTTATTGTAAAACGTTAAAATCTGTAATATGTATATAAGATTTACATTTTTTTTTTATTGACATGGAAGATTCAGACAAATTTCTCTCTGCCTTTTAATGTTTTATTGAAAATGAAAGATCTGTCATATTTATATAAGATTTTCACTTTTGGGGGAGAAATTGTAGATTCAGACATCTCTCGCTCTTTTAAATGTTAAAATCTGTCATATTAAAATGTTAAAATCTGTCATACTTATATGAGATTTACACATTTTTCATTGAGAATTAGTAGATTCAGAACAATTTCTCTCTCGCTTTTAACGTTTTTATTGAAAAAAGTAAAATATCTGTCATATTTCTTTAATATTTACTTTTTTTCAATGCAAAATTGTAGATTCAGTCAAATTTCTCTGTCTTAATATTTTTATGGAAAAATTAAAAAATCTGTCATATTTATATAAGATTTACACATTTTATTGAGAAATTATATATACAGACAAATTTTGTCTCTCACTTTTAATGATTTCATTGAAAAATGTTAAAATCTGTCATATTTATATAAGATTTAACCTTTTTTATTGAGAAATTTTCGATTCAGGCAAACTTCTATCTGTCTTTTAATATTTTTATTGAAAAATGTAAAATATCTTTCATATTATGTACCATTTTTTTATTGATATTGTAGAGTCAGACAAATGTCTGTATTTTAATGTTTTTATTGAAAAGTATTCAAATCTATCATTTTCCACTTTTTTTTTACAAATTATAGATTCAAACTAATTTCTCACATTCTTTTAATTTTTTATAGTTAAAATCTGTAATATTTATATAAGATTCTCATTTTTTTAATTAGAAATTGTAGATTTAGACAAATTTGTCTGTCTTAATATTTTTATAAAATTGTCTTATTTATATAACATTTACCCTTTTTTGTTGAAAAATTGTAGATTCAAACAAATTTCTCTCTGTTTTTTTTTATTGAATAACATTGAACAAGAGTGGAGACTCACCCTTGTTTCTTCTTTAGGAACTTCCTCTCATTCTCTCTGGCCACTGCACTAGTACTGCCATGATTCTCCTGTGATGTGTGCAGTCTGTGGCAATGCCTCTTCATTCTGAGGGTACAAATGACAAAATCTGCTATAAGGGTACAAATCTGAGGGTACAAATCAACAAAATCTGTTATAATCAAATGGAATTATAATTCCATTTGATTATAACAGATTTTGTTATTTCTCAATTGAAGATCTGAAATTAAGATTTACATTTTTTTATTTTTTATATAAATATGACACATTTTAACTTTTTCAATAAAAATATTAAAAGACATTTGTCTGATTCTACAATATTTCTATAAAAAAATGGGTAAATCTTATATAAATATGACATGTTTTAACATATTACAATAAAAACATTAAATAACACTAAGAAATTTGTCAAATTTACTAATTTTTATTTTGAGGAATTGTAGATTCAGACAAATTTCTCTCTGTCTTTCAAAGTTTTCAGGAAAAAATGTTAAAATTTGGCATATTTATATAAGATTTACCATTTTTTACAAGAAATTGTAGATTCAGAGAAATTTCTCTGTCTTTTCATGTTATTTTAAAAGTTAAAATGTGTCATATTTATATAAGATTTGCCTTTCTTTGTTGAGCAATTGTAGATTCAGACAAATTTATTTCTGTCTTTTAATGTCTTTATTGAAAAATGTCAAAATTCATATTTATATAAAATTTACCCTTGCAAACAAATTTCTCCGTGTTTTTATATTTTCATTGAAAAATTTTGAAATCTGGTATATTTATATGATGTTTACACCTTTTTATTGAGAAATTGTAGATTCAGACAAATTTATCTCTGTATTTTAATGTTTTTATTGAAAAATGTTAAAATATATCTTACAATTTTTTTATGAGAAATTGTTGATTCCCACAAACTTCTCTTTATCTTTGAAACTTTTTATTGATAAAGTAAAATCTGTCATACTATATAAGACTTATCCTGTTTTATAGAGAAATTGTAGGTTCAGACAAATTTCTGTCTTTCACAGTTTTAATGGAAAAATGTTAAAATCTGACATATTTATATAAGATTTTGTTTTTGAGAAATTGTAGAGTCAGACAACAAGATAATTTTAATTGATTTCAACATTTTCAATTGAAAAATAACAAAATCTGCTATAAATCTACTTTATTTGAATATTTTCAATTGAAAAATAGCAAAAAATACCATAACGTCATTTGATTTCATGATTTTCATTTGAAAAATCTCCTATAATACTACTAGATTTCAACATTTTCAGTTGAAAAATAACAGTTTGCTATAAATCTATGATGAAATCCAATAGAATTATAGCAGATTTCATTATTTCTCTATTGAAAATTGAACTATAGCATATTTCAAATAGACAAATAAAAAAATTTATTATAATTCTAATTTATTTCAAAATTTTCAATTGAAAAATAAAAAAATATGCTATAATTCCATTTGATTTCAACATTTTCATTTACAAAGTAACAAAATCTGCTAACATTCCAAACGATTCTCACATTCTGAATAGAAAAATTACAAAATCTGTTATAATTCTACATTATTTCAAAATTTTCGATTGATACATAATAGCAGATCTTTATCTGCTATAATTATACTTGATTTCAACAATTTCAGTTGAAAAATAAGCAAATCTCCTATAATTAAATTAGATTTCAACATTCTCAATTCAAAAAATAATAAAATTTGTTATAATTCTACTTGATTTCAATTAAAAAATAAAAAATCAGTTGTAATTCCATTTGATTTCAACATTTTCAATTAAAAAATAAAATCTGCTATAATTGCACCTGACTCCAACATTTTCAATTGAAAGTAACATGATCTGCTATAATTCCATTTGAGTTCAACATTTTCAATTGAAAAATATAAAAATCTACCATAATTCTATTTTCATAATTTTCAATATAAAATTAACAAATTCTATTTGATTTCAACATTTTCAGTTGAAAATACCTAAATACCTTTATTTCAAAATTTACAATTGAAAAATGACAAAATATGCCATACATCCATTTGATTGCAACATTTTCATTTGCAAAATAAGAAAATCTCCTATAATTCTACATGATTTCAACATTTTCAATTGAAAAATTACAAAATCTGTTATAATTCCATTTGATTATAACAGATTTTGTTATTTCTCAATTGAAAATCAATTGGAATTATAGTATAATCTAAAAAGAAAAAGAAAAAAATCTGCTATAATTCTACTTTATTTCAACATTTTTAATTGAAATATAACAAAATATTCTGTAATTCCATTTGATTTCAACATTTTCAATTAAAAAGTACCATATCTGCTAAAATTCTACATGATTTTCATATTTTGAATTGAAAAATAACAAAATCTGCTATAATTTTAGTTTATTTCAAAATTTTCGTTTGGTATGCGAAATGATCTATAATTATACTTGATTTTAACATTTTCAGTTGAAAATAAGAAAATCTCCTATAATTCAATTAGATTTTGACATTCTCAATTAAAAAAAATATTAAAATCTGTTATAATTCTACTTGATTTCAAGATTTTCCATTGAAAAATAACAAAATCTGCTATATTTTCATTAGATTTCTACATTTTCAAATTAAAAATAATAAAAACTGCTAAAATTGTAATTGATTTCAAATTTTGCATTGAAAAATAAGAAATTATGCTATACTTCTATTTGATTGCAACATTTTCCATTGAAAAATTGTCATAATCTGGACGGGGGATCACTCGCCTTGTCTGTCGATGAAGAGCGCAGCCAACTGTGAGAACTGATGTAAATTGCATGACTCAGTGAACATCAACACCTCGAACACACATTGAGGTCTCGAGATCCCTTGTCTTAGGGCCCCGTCCAGTCGAGAGGCGGAAAATGGCATGTCTTCTTACTCGATAGTCGAGAGGCATCTCCCCGTCCCCCGCGTCATTCTTTTGAATAATTGCCTTTCTCACGCGGAGGAAACCGGGACGTCGCAGGATGGAAGGTTCTTCTTCCTCCCAATCCTTCGTCTCCTGCTTTCAGACCGTGGAGCCGCTTCCGTTACGACCGCGGGCAGTCGTTGATTGCAAGACTACGACTATGCGCAAACAGCAGCGGCAACGTCGTTTCGCTCTCGGAGGTCGAAATACAAGCCTTGGGCGTCTCGAAGCCAGTCTCTGCCGCCACCACCGCCGTCTCGTTTTGCACGTATGCGCGAAAAACAAACATAAACACCATAAACCATAAACTCGGACGAGACGACCCACTGAACTTAAACATATCGCAAAGTGGAGGAAAAGAAACCAACCGGGATTCCCTTAGTAATGGCGAGTGAACCGGGAGAATCCCAATGCCGAATCCCGTCGCAAGTAAACGGCTTGGGGACGTGTGGTGCATGGGTCGAAGACCGCCGCTTGTTTTCGTCTCGCGTAGTTCAGAGTTCCCTCGATCGGGGTTTGTCCGTGGCGGGTGCCAGGTCCATTCGGTGCGAACGACAAGCGACGGCCTTCGATCCGAGAGTCGTGTTGCTTGGGAACGCAGCCCAAATCGGGTGGTAAGCTCCATCCAAGGCCGAGTCCAATAGTCGACAAGTACCGTGAGGGAAAGTTGAAAATAACTCTGGAGAGAATTCAAGAAAACGTGAAACCGCCTAGGGGTAAACGGGTGGCACCGCTCACAGCGATCGCGGGCGGGGTGGGACTCAGTCTGGTGCTCCTTACGTGGCCCAAACGCGATTTGGTTGTTGCCCGGGAAATTCCTCGGGCGGCGGCGTCCACCACAGGCCGGCGCGGACATCATTTCGGGGTTCACTGGCGGGGACGTTTGTTGCTGGGGTGCCCGGTGCGGTTTCGGCCGCTTTGCCGCCCTTCCTCCTCCTACTCGACCTCGACGCCTTCTGGATTCTGCTTTTGCACTCGCGTCGCCAACGGGAGAGACGGGCCGCGGGGAACGAGGAGAACGCGGCGGTCGCTGCTGCTGCCGTCGTGGCTCCTCCTCTCCATTCCTCGCGATCACCCGAAGCTCTTCTTCGCTCGGCATCATATGGCGCGGGCGCTTCGGCGCCACGCTAACATCCGCACGGCAAGCACCGGATGCACTTCCCCTCCAGTCCGTCGTCGCGCCCCGTTCCCGGCGTGCAGGTCGACGCACTCTAAACCTTCATGTTCGCGGGTCGGCGGAGACGTCTTCTATCGGTCCCGCAAGCGTACTGCCCCCTTCTGCCGGGGACGGAGGAAACGAAAACGCGATCCGTTACACGTGACGAACCGGTTTCTTCTCGTCAGACGATCCGCGCAGCGCTTCGCGCGCCCTCAGCGTCCCACCGTCTCGGGGGTGCGCGGGACAGTCTTCGCGGGAGCTTCAAAACCGGCGCGGCCACGCCGATTCCCATGCCGGCGCGCGTCGTCGTCTCGTTGCGTCGTCTTCTTCGCGTCCAGAACAAAAAGCCGGGCGCACGGGACGGCTGTGTCTGCGCGGTAGGTCGTGTTCGCGACGTGCATCGGCAACCCACCCGACCCGTCTTGAAACATGGACCCGAGTCGTAGGAACCCCGAAGAACCCCGATGGCGCAGAGAAAGCGAGAGGGCGCGTCGTAGGAAACCACTGGGCCGGGAGAGGTGTCGCGGTGAAAGCGGTTCCGGCGGGGAGTTTCTTGCTTCCTTCCGCCGCCTAGTCGTGTTCGATTCCGCCGGCTCTTGCCTTCTTCGACCCGCCGTCCTTTCCCTCTTTTCCTCCGTCCGTCCCGAATCGGTTCCTCATGATTTTCCTGTCGCCGGGTGATGACGAGTCTCGGACGCTTGTGGTAGGGGGAAAAACTCACAGGGGTCTATCGTCTTTTGCGGGGTGCAACTTCAAACTTTCCTCCAACCGCCCACCAGTGAGATCTCACGACTTGAACTAGTCACGATTTAGGTCGTTGAGTTTAGCCGCAGGCGCATCCCCCCCGGGTCGCTAATTTTTTCTCTGAGTACGACTCGGCCGACTCTGGCGTATCGAGCGGACAAGGACCCGAGAGATGGCGATCCACGCGCGGTCGGGATGAAACCAGAGGAAACTCTGGTGGAAGTCCGAAGCGCCTCTGACGTGCAAATCGATCGACTAAAGTCCGACATGCCGAGCCTGTGGCCCAGGCGCCGACAGATGAGGAGCAGTTCATGACAGCGCCCCATCCCGACAAGCACGTTCAGCAGATCACCCAAGGGATTACCGATTACATAAACGGCATCCTTCCTAGTATCCTTGACCCCGTGGTTCAGGACAAGACCAAAGAGGCCATCGGTGATCCCAATGGGTTCTCTCTGCTGTATCACGAGGTTTTCCCTAAAAACGGGACCGTTAGCAGGAGAGCGATACCGGTGGTGAAGGTAGGAGCAGGCGCGCCCAGCACACCATAATCTACAACTTCCTCCAGAACCTCCATAAGCGCAGTCCAAAGTCGGTCGCCAAACGGGTCCTCAACAACAACCTCTCCTACATTTTCAATTGAAAAATAAGAAAATCTGCTATAATTCATTTCAACATTTTCATAAAAAAATAACAGTCTGTTATAATTCCATTTGATTTAAACATTTCAAATTGAAAAATTATAAAAATATGATATAAACTACTTTATTTCATTATTTTCAATGGAAAAATAACAAAATCTTCTATAATTCCATTTGATTTCAACATTTTCAATACAAAAATAATGGAATGTCTTTTAATTCTACTTTATTTCAACATTTTCTAATGAAAAATAAAATCTGCTATCATTCCATATGATTTCAATATTGTAAATTGAAAAATAACAAAATCTGCCATAATTCAATTTAATTTCAACATTTTAAATTGAAAAATGTCAAAATTTGCTATGATTCTACTTGATTTCAACATTTTCAATTGAAAATAAAATTATCTGCTATAATTCCATTTGATTTCAAGGTTTCAATTGAAAAATAAATAAATTTGCCAAAATTCGATTTTCTTTGAAAATTTTTAGTGGAAAAATAACAAAAATTTTCAATTGAAAAACAACATCAGCTATAATTCTGATAGATTTCAACATTTTCAATTAAATAATAACAAAATACCCTATAATTCTACATTATTTCAAGATTTTCAATTGAAAATAAAATTATCTGCTGATATAGAAATTAATTCAAATGACAGAATATTTTGTTATTTTTCAATTGAAAATTTTGAAATAAAGTAAAATTAAAGCAGATTTTGATATTTTTAAATTGAAAATATTGAAATAAAATGGAATTATAGAACATTTTTCTTATTTTTCAATTGAAAATGTTCATATCAAGTACATTTATAGTAGATTTAAATATTTTTCAAATGACAATGTTGAAATGAAGTAGAATTATGGCAGATTTTGTTATTTTTCAATTGAAATGAAATGGAAATTATAGCATATTTTAAATTGAAAAATAACAAAATATGCTATAATTCTACATGATTACAAAATTTTCAATTGAAAAATTAGAAAATCTGCTATAATTCCATTTGATTCCAACATTATCAATTTACAAATGACAAAATCTGTTATAAGTCTACATGAGTTCTAAATTTTTAATCAACAATGACAAAATATGCTGTAATTGCACTTGATTTCAATATTTTCAATCAAAAAGTACTTAAATCTGCTGTAATTCTACTTGATTTTCATATATTCAATTGAAAAACAAAAGAATCTGCTATAATTCCTTTCCTTTTGATTTCTTCATTTTCAATTGAAACGAATAAGATCTCTTATAAGTCTACTTGACTTCAACATCTTCCATTAGATTTCAACATATTCAATTTAAAAATAACAAATCTGCTATTATTCAATTTTATATCAACATTTTCAAAACTAATTAGATCGGTTATAATTCTACATGATTTACACATTGTCAATTGAAAAATAACAGAATCTACTATAATCCCATTTGATTTCAACATTTTAAATTGAAAAATAACAAAATCTGTCATAATACTTGATTTCAACATTTTCAATTTAAAGTAAAGAAAATCTGCTATAATTCTAATTTATTTCAACATGTCCAATTGAAAATTGACAAAACCTACTATAATTCTAATTGATTTCAATATTATCAATTGAAAATAAGAAAATCAGTTATAATTACATTTGCTTTCAATATCTGCAATTGAACAATAACACAATCAGCTATAATTCTATTTGATTTCAACATTTTCAATTGTAAAATAAAATCTGCTATAATTCTTCTTTCTTTCAAAATTTTCAATTGAAAAATAGCTGGCTGGTATAATTCCTTTTCATTTGAAACTTTTTCAATTGAAAAATAACAAAATCTATAATTCTATTTCATATCATCATTTTCAATTGAAAAAGAACAAAATCTGCTATTATTCCATATGATTTCAACATTTTAAATTGAAAAATAACAAAATCTGCTATAATTCAATTTGATTTCAGCATTTTAAATTGAAAAATACAAATTCTGCTATAATTCTACTTTATTTCAAAATTTTGTGATTGATAATTAATTAAATCTGCTATGATTGTACTAGATTTCAACATTTTCAATTGAATAATGACAAAAATCGGCTATAATTCCATTTGATTTCAAAATTTTCAATTACAAAAATAACAAAATCTGCTATTATCCTAATTGATTTCAATATTTTCAATTGTAAAATGACAAATTCTGCTATAATTCCATTTGATTTCAAAATTTCATATTGAAAAAATAACAAAAAATGATAAATTTCTATTTGATTTCAACATTTTCAATTGAAAAATAACAAAATCTGATGTAATTCGTTTTTTAATATTTTCAATTGAAAAATTAGAAAATCTGCTATAATTTCATTTGATTTCAGCAATTAGACTGAAACATAACAAAATCTGACATAATTCTACGTTATTTCCAGATTTTCAGTTGATAAATACAAAATCTACTATAATTCCATTTGATTTCAACATTTTAAATTGAAAAATAACAAAATAGGCTATGATTCTACTTGATTTCAACATTTTCAATTAAAAAATAGGAAAGTGCAATAATTGCATTTGATTTCAAAATTTTCAATTAAAAAACAAAATCTGCTATAATTCCTAGTTTTGAACATTTTAAATTGAAAAATAACTAAATCTGATATAATTCTAATTTATATCAACATTTTCTATTCAAAATTGAAAATCTGCTATAATTCCGTTTGATTTCATCATTTTCAGCTGAAAAATAACAAAATCTGCTATAATTCTATTTAATTTTAACATTTTCAATAGAAAAATAACAAAATCAGCTATTATTGTACTCCATTTCAATATTTTCAATTGAAATAGAATAAAATTTTCTATAATTCTACTTGATTTCCAAATGAAAAATTACAAAATCTGCTATAATTCCATTTGATTTCAGTATTTTCAATTGAAACGTCTCATGATCTGATATAACTCTACTTGATTCCGAAGTTTTGAATTGAAATATAACAAAATTTGCTATAGTTCCATTTTATTTCAACATTTTCCATTGAAAAATTACATAATCTGCTATAATTCTTATGGAATTCAACATTTTCAGTTTGAAAATAACACAATGCACTATCATTCCATATGATGTCAACATCTTCCATTGAAAAAATAACAAAATCTGCTATAATTACATTTGATTTCAACATTATAACATATAGATATTACTCATTATAATTTTGGCACATGGCCGAAAGGGAGAAGAGTGGTGAAGCTAGTCTTCGCTAACTATCCTATTCCTAGTTAATCACGATCATGTCGCATTCATCCAATACAGTTGCTCCATTTCCAACGAGAATTCATTCATCACCATTCAATCCTACATATACCACAATACCACATACTCACCAAGAGAAGTTTAACAAAAACACCCCATAATATAAATATTTTAAATTCCTAGGGAAAAATATATAAAATTGCATGAAGCATGAAATGAGTTGGGAGGAATGAATTGAAAGCAAAAAAAAAAAAAAAAAAAAAAAAAAAACAGACCCATCAACCACTCAAAATAAAAAGAATGGCTTCTGTACTCTGTCGATAGACAGAATCAAGTAGCACACTCACTAAAGGAATGGGGAGGATAAAAATAAATGACGGAATTGGAAAAATAAAGTCTGATCCAGCTGAGATGAAAACGGGGACCAAAATAAACTGGGGAGGTTGGGAATCTTGACATGAATCATAACAAAAGAGTGCCTGGAACAGGCCAGGAGCAACACTTATTATTATTATTATTATTATTAACTAGGCAAATCAAGAGTGTCTAGCTTAACCAGGGGGTGGGATCACAGGAAACCGCCCCGTTTTGACCAAGTGGACTTAAAAAAGAAACTCAATGTTAGCCTCTTTCACACAAACCAAACTCTCTACTTTTACCCACCTTTCACTGAAATCTGTCGATATCAAACGCTTTCTATCAGTTCTGATCTTCACTTTCCGCTGCTGCTGGAAGAATCTGACCAGAGCCTGATGAGAATAACGTTCGTATCGCAAGACTCACTCCATCAGCGACCTCCAAATCACCATTTGCTCCACGGCTAGCTAGAAAATGGAGGTGACGCCATTATCTCACACGTATGCGAAATCAATGAGCACGAGAACATCGGGAGCGATACCAGCCATTAACTCACCAACATAGTCCCAGAAAGGGCGCATCTGAGGACATGGTAGAATTTATGTGAAACCGTTTCTTCTAAGACAAGGTCACACCGATGACAGTCAGGCAAATCCGCTCAGCCCCATCTGAATCAAAAAAAGCGAAAACAAAAGGGTTACTGAGAGAAATGAAAAGACAAGTCCCTTGAAGCCTTTAAAACGAGAAAGCCGAGCTGCTGTCCAGAAAGTATAATTCGCGACCAACTCCAATAATTTTGAGGCTGTGAAAGGTCACTGGACCGAGGAAAGGCCCTCAAGGCTGGTAGACATTTATACGACGGCGAAAAGACCAGGAAATGGGAGAATGATAGTAAGGCGTAACAACACCAAAATCGAATCCTCAGTCAAAACGCAGCGTAGGAAAGCCAACTTTGGAGCGTTCGATTACTCACCAGATGTAAAATTTCCCAGCCCCCTGACACGGATTTTTTTACAGCATTCTAATGCGGACCTTCGGCTTGCGCTCCCGCCACAAGAGGCGCTTCGATCGACTTTCCAATGATCCTTTCAAAGAGGAAGT